AACGCCAACAACTACACGTGCCAGGCAGTGAGCGAAGGCGCGGACCGCGTCCAGAAAATGATGGCGGAGTCTAGGACCCTGGCCACCAGAGAGTCACCCACCGGGCAATCCCGCAGCCGTTCGCCTGTCCGGACACAGCCGTCTCTTCCAAAGAGCAAACACACGCACCGACAGACAGAGGCACACACACACATACGCAAGCACAGACACACAGAGACAGTCACGCACGCGCGCAGGCACACAAGCGCGAACGCATGTGTACCTATACCTACACCCGAACGCACCCTGCCACGAAAAGGACACATACTAGCTTTCAAACGTCTTTGCAGGACTGCGCATGGCGGCGATGAGTGGACTCTTGTGGACGGCTGAGACGGTGTCGTTGTATCCAGACCTTCTGCAGCACTGCCCGCAACGCAGTCTGCTTAAACAATTCGCTTGCGCACGCCCAATGAGAGCGCATGGAGACGCAGCAACCAGGTGGCCCAGCAGAAACCCTAAACCCTAAAGTGATGTGTGGGCCAGCAGACTCTGAAAGGATGTGTGGGCCACCAGAAGCCCTAAACCGTAAAGTGATGTGTAGGCCAGAAAAAGCCCTAAACCCTAAAGTGATGTGTAGCCCTAAAGTGAGGTGTGGGGCAGCAGAAACCCTAAAGCCAGGCGTGGGCCAGCAGAAGCCCTAATGCCAGGTGTGGGCCAGCAGAAACCCTAAAGCCAGGTGTGGACCAGCAGAAACACTAAACCGTAAAATGATGCGTGGGCCAGCAGAAGCCGTAAAGTGAGGTGTGGGCCAGCAGAAACCCTAAACCCCAAAGTAATGCATGGGCCAGCAGAAGCCCTAAAGTGTGGACCAGCAGAAACACTAAACCGTAAAATGATGTGTGGGCCAGCAGAAGCCCTAAACCCTAAAGAGATGCGCAGGCCAAAGCCTAAACCACAAAGCGATGCGTGGGCCAGCAGAAGCCCTAAACCCTAAAGTGATGTGTAGGCCAGCAAGAAACCCTAAAAGTGGCCGTGCGGGCCAGCAGAAACCCTATAGTGATGTGTGGGCTAGCAGAAGCCCTAAACCCTAAAGTGATGTGTGGGCCAGCAAGAAACGTGTGGGCCAGCAGAAACCTTAAACCCTAAAGTGATGTGTGGGCAGAAACCCTAAATCTTAAAGTGATGTGCTGGCCAGCAGAAACCCTAAAGTGATGCGCGGGCCAGCAGAAGCCCTAAACCCTAAAGTGAGTGTGGGCCAGCAGAAACTCCCAAGAAATCTGTGGGCCTACGGCATCAACCCTAAAGTGATGTGTAGGCCAGCAAGAAACCCTAAAGTGATGTGTGCCCCCGCGACCAAGCCCCGATAGCTCCCTTCATACAAACTACGACCAAAATGAATAGCCCGCTACGACCAAAATGAGAAGGAAACTGCGACCCAAATTCCCGCGCAATTGCCAACTAGGACCAACATAAATGACGCAAATATGGACTAGGACCAAAATTAGACAAAAAATAGGATCAACATGAGCGGCCTACCTGGACAGATTGCCTTGTCTTCGCAGTGCATTGTTGTTTTTTAGACGGGGGCAGAGCTGGTGCTGCAGCCCAACAGCTTGCCCGGGAAAGAGCCAGACGCGGAGGCCCGTGGGGATGGTTTGCCTTGTCTTCGCAGCGCAGTGTTGCTTTTTTAGCCTGGTGAGTTGTCGCGCCTTGAGGGCTGCACGGGCTGGTCAAGTTTGATTAGTGCCTGGTACTGCAGGCCAACAGGTCGCCCAGGAAACAGCCAGACAAAGCCCAAGGGCATTTGAATTGCTTGGCAAACCTTTACACGCATGTATTTGGGAACACCCCGTGCCATGGGAGCCGGGCGGGGCGCGGGATGCTTCCCATGTGCTTCTTGCAGGTGGCAGTTGCAGGACAAGGGTTGCCCGCAGAGCAGGAGGGCTTGAGCCGTGCGTGGCAGGCAATGATACGCATTAGATGCGCTGTTGTGGGCGGCTTGAGCGCTGTTGCATCGGCAGGGGCCGGCCTAGTGTTGCCGCGCGAGCTTCGGCTGCTAGCTTGCGCAGCAGCTGCTGCAGGCCAACAGCTTGCGCAGGAAAGAGCCAGACGCCGAGGCCCTTGGGGATGGTTTGCCTTGTCTTCGCAGTGCAGTGTTGTTTTTTTTAGCCTGGTGTAGCCGGCAATGACATGCTGTGGATGAGCTGTCGTGCCTTGAGGGCTGCTGCATCAGCACGAGCTGGCCAAGTTTGAATAATGCCTGGCACTGCAGGCGACCCAGAAAAGACGAGAGGCCTGAGGGGACAGCACGCATTGGATGCGTTGTTGTGGGTGGTTTGAGGGCTGTTGCATCAGCAGGGGCCGGCCTAGTGTTGCCGCGCGAGCTTCGGCTGATGGCTTGCGCAGCACTGGTGCTGCAGGCCAACAGCTTGCCCGGGAAAGAGCCAGACGCCGAGGCGCTTGGGGACAGTTTGCCTTGTCTGCGCAGTGCGTTGTTGTGCTTAGACGGGGACAGGCCGGCAATGAAATGCTGTGGATGAGTTGTCGTGCCTTGAGGGCTGCTGCATCGGCAGGGGCTGGCCAAGTTTTCCTAATGGCTGGCACCGCAGGCCACCAGCTTGAGGCGCAAATAGTTTGCCTTGCCTTCGCTTCTAGACGGGCGCATGTGAATTACTCGGGCAGATGCGGTCAGTGGGTCAGATGGGATGTGGAGAGCCCAGGAAGAAACAGTTGGGAAGTGTGGCTGAGAGGTGTCTTTTCGCTAGTTTTATCAAGCAGGGCCAGCTGTGGTCTGCTGAGTGGCAATGCTACATATCTGTCGCCCGGCCAGGGTTTACACCTGCAAGCGTGGGCCAATCCAAGGAGTCGCAGTAACCGCTTTGAAACGGTGCACTGGCAACCTAGCAGCTGCTCCTGAGGTGGAACTGGCTCTGCGCGCGCTGATGCACGAGCGGAACACCCAGGCTGGCGGGGACTTGGCGGCCACTTTGCGCCGGCCTGCGCATCAGCTGCTTTTGGGGAGCTCCCGGCATCCCGCGCGGAGAACCCTTTTCCGAGCACAATTTTGCTTGTGTGTTGGTGACTGACGGTAGCGGGGCCGCGAGTTGGGGCCGCAGGGTCGCTGCCAAGTACGCTTGCTTTTGTCGATCCCTTGCTTTCGTCGAACCCGACTGCGGCAGGACAGCATGGGCGATCAGCAATGGACGAAGTTGGCGTGGCAGTTTGCGCAGAGGGCCCCGTGGAACTGCCACCGAATCGATCAGGCACGAGCCAAGCCACCAGGTGGACCAGAAGACAGCTGAGGCCTTTGCTGCTTTCATGAGGGCTGAAACCAACCCAAAAATCAATGGCTCAGCCAAAACACTTCACATTGTCAAAGATGATGGCTCCGTGTTGGAACAGAAATAGACACCGGACCTTTTGCAAACGCTCAAGCCGCAGATGTTACACTCTCCCAGCCCCAGAACTGCAAGCACCAGCGCTCTCAAGATCAGCAATTCCCCCATTGCAAGGCGCAGCCCGAACAATAGCACACGCTGAGCCAAGTAGCAGAATCGATCCGCTAGCACTTTCATCGAGAGGCCTCCGTCTGGAAAAGCAAGCGAGCCAGGGTGAATCCTCATGAAGGTAACTTGGCTACGAGAACAACAGTCTTGCCACGTTGCGATCGCCCGAGCATACCCCATGAGCTTAAATGGACGAAAGCCAAAGTGCGTCGCGGCACTCCAAGGCAGACTTCTTGCTGCATCCTCAAGCAGTGTGAAGTGGCTGAAGGCATGGAGTGCTCGGCAGATCCTGTGCGAAGAGCCACCCTGCTTCCTCACCCTCTTCCTCACACCCAGAGAGGAGACGTGGCTTGCCGTGTACGACCCTATACCGTGGCACAGTCGTGTTGCCAAATCAGATGGTCTGTCCAGTGATCATGCTTTCCCGCATGAAGCCGAGCCCGCAGCACATTGCCTACACCCGTCCGAGCGCCCATGAAACAGGATCAGGCCTGGGAACCCTTAAGGGACAACAACATATAACACATATAACGACAACCGGTACGTGCGCAAGTGGTATTTGCCAAGCCACAGAAGGGACCGGGGAGATGCCGGTTTGGCCGCTTGGGAAACAGATGGGAAGAAGCCCTACTTATCTCTAACTCCCCGATGTGTTAATCTGAACTCTTGCATTGTGTAGACAACGATGCCGAGCCACACTCGCCGAAGCCGCCAGTGATGATGCTGAAAGCAGCGGCACGAACCAGCAAAACAGCCGAGACGGGGAATTGGCCTGCCTTCTGCCGCAGAAGGCCCAGGATCGCAGAGGCGATGAAACGCATTCTGTAAGAGCCCCGGTCGTGACGAGGATTTACGCAGCAAGCGCGCACTGACAGCACCGCTTCTGCCATGCGCAGCGTCGAGAACCCTACACCAAGCCTAAACCAAGCCCAAACCAACCCCAAACCAACCCTAAACCAACCCCAAACCAGCCCTGAACCCACCCAAAACCAATCCTAAACCAACCCTAAACCAACCCTAAACCACGCACAAACCAATCCCAAACCAACCCTAGACCAACCCTAAACCAGCCCTAGACCGACCCCAACCCAACCCTAAACCAACCCCAAACCAACCCCAAACCAATCCTAAACTCACCGCAGCCCATATTTGATTGCCCGGTTCACCTGTACGTGATTGCCGGGTTCTGCTGTACGTGATTGCGGCGCAGCCTCCAATAGCTGATTGCAGGGTCCAGTCTTTGATTACTGCTTTACTCTCAAGCAACTGAGCCGACCTTCAATTTACCCACGCCACCAGAGTCCGCCAGGTGTCCAAGTTAAGCACCACTCCAAGAGGAACCTCACTTGAAAAAAGGCCCCAAAGAAGGGGTAAATCCAGAGCCATGCAGAGAAGCAAGTGGTAAAACCCAGAGCCATGCAGAGAAACATAGTGAAGGGAGGCAATATAGCGAAAATTCCCAGCGCTTCGCGGCCTGAGAAAACCGAGCTGGAACCCCGGCTCCCCCCCCACCTTCTCCGCTCGCAGCGCTGCCTCCCAGCAACTCCTCGCCTCGTGGCTGGGGTGTTCCAAAAGCCGAGCAACTCGGGCGTACATCAAGCTCCCAAGATTCATATCGTCATGTTTTTGGCGTTATATTACCTTACACCAAAATTTGGATTGTCAGATTGGTTTCATGTTACCTTACACACAAATTCGGCAGATTTGGTAGGGAAGCATCCCTGCCTTGGTGGATATTCAAGGACCCCTGATGTTGTCAGGCGCCCGACCAAACCCCTCTAGCCGTTTTGGCCTTATTTGGCCTGCATAAGGCAGATTCGCCCCTTTCAGCGTCCGGGGCACTTAGGTGGTTAATAATAATATAAGCCAGGCCATGTGGCATAAGTCCTTGCCGGTAAGGGGACTCTTTTCAGGGTTTTGGAAAACCGATCCCGGAAGGGAAACCACCATGAACTTGCCCCATTATTCGACGATTCTCAAAGTCACCCCCCCAGGTAGGGTAAAGGGGGAAACCACCGCAGGTTTCTGACTTTGCTACTTGCATACCCCCGAGAACACTCAACATAGATGACCATGGCTCAAAATCCCGTCCCCCCAGTGAACATCCCAATCCCCACTAAAATAGGAAGCCTAAAATGGGTGCTGAATTCATCTACCAAAATGGGATCCACCAAAACGGTTTTGACCACAGCCAGATGAATTTGGATTGGTTCGGGTTGGATCCCACCGGCCTCCAAGTCCTGGATCTCCCGCAGCTGGCGACCGCGCTCCGCGAAGAGCGCCGAGGCCTCCGCCTGCGATCCGCGTTGCGTTGAGGGGGCCACGAGCGATCCGCGGGGCAGCGCTTTGGGCTAAGGCCGGCCGGAGGTTTGGATTGCTGTGGAGAAATCAACACGGGGGAAGGGGAGGGCTTTTGTAGGGGTTGGATGCTTGGGCTTGTTTTGGGCTTGTTTTGGGTGGAGGTGGCTGGAAAAAAGGTGTTTATTTGGTTTTAAAGTGGCGTGGTTGTAGCCAGTGACGCAAAAGGAAGAGAAACAAAATCTTTCTCGGGACAACTGGTTCCACTAAACAGCTGGGGTGGTAGGAATTCCTTGTTGGGTTTTGGAGTGGTAGTGCAGGCAGGACAATTACGGTTTGGATGCGGCGAATCTGATCCACCCCTCTTGGATATTGAAGGTGTACTTTGCTAATACTAAACCATCTCCAACACGGGGCACACCGAGCGCATCCAAACCGTTCTCTAGAGGAAAACCGGTAGTTGTAGGTCTGCAAACTGGCGGAGATCCAATATTCAATGACTCCACGGCACTGTGGTCGGATGTGGTCGGCTTTCCTCAACCGTAGCCTTCATGAGCAGCTCGTGCTGCGGCTCTGCGCCACCTCCACCGAGCAAAGACCCGTTCCTCCGGCTGACCGCCCGGTCGAGGCTGGCCGCCCCGGCTTTTGGCCTGGTGCTTGACACCTTTTGTTTGGTGTACTCTGGGCTTGGGTCAAGTTACAGGGATGCTTACCCCAGACGTGAAGCTAAGAGGCGCCGGGAAAACGGAGCAAACAAATCTGCTATCTGAGAAGCGAGCGTAGATGCTGTACCGGGGGGTGAGTTTCATCAGATTTCCTGCGAGGTTGTGCGTGCAAAGAGAGTCCCCACGTCTTTTAATTGAAGGGCTACAAGGCTGGGAGGCAAGGAACCAACAAACACCAGGCGTCTAAATGGCTCACACCAGTGGCCTTGTGGAAGATTGAGATTTTTCGGCCAAACTTCTGAGCCACCAAGGAACCCCCCCTTTACAGTGCTTTATACGTGGGCATGGTCCACTTTGGTAGCACAGAACAGGTTATGTCCCACAACTATGTTGCCACCCCGAGCCTGCCATCTCTGACGGACCCGTGCCGTGGGCAAGCTTTTAATTCGATGTGAGGCTGTCACCGCAGATCCTCGCCTTTCCAACGAAAGAGGCGCAAATCACAAAACGGGGACATACAGGTGTGCGTCAAATTGAGGGACCACCAAAATGGTGGCTGTCCTTTTACCCCCGTTGCGCAAATCTGAAAAGGATACCCTCAAAGAAACTCTGACATGATGCATGTATTCATATGTACACATACATATATGGATGTTGCCTTAAATGTGACCCTTTTGGGTCGGTCTTAAAAGGAAACACAAACGACACCAACCACTTCTAAGTGCTCCCCGCCGCCATTACACCCAAAAAAAGCAGGATCCTGGCCGTAGAGCCGAACAATCTAAGGAAAATAGAGCCGGCTGAAACAGCTCCACATGAGTTGCATTTAAGCAGCGCCCCAAGCCGATTGACTTGGAGTTCCACGGGCGCTGCTCATTTGGGTTTGTGGCTCCCTCTTGAGGTTCGCTACGTCGCTACCCTTTTGACGTTCGACCAGGAAACCAAAGGAACGCCCACACCACCCATTTACAGGGGAATGAAGGGAACAGCCAAACTGTTTAAATACCAGCCAAGTTTGTTCATCAACCTGCTGGATTATTGGGGGTGGGGGGGGTCACAGAAAAGCGATTCGGATTACCTCTTAAACGGGAGCCCCAATCAAAATCAAGCACGCCAATGCAAGGGACTACTACAAGGGTTCCCAGCCCAGGCTTCCTTTTAAGGAGCTAATGTCACTTGATATAGATATAAATCAACTTGAGGGTATGGAGAAAAGCAACTTTGGGTTGCATTGGGTTAGCGTATAAAACAATGAAAAACAGAGGGTTGTTCTCGGTATAAGTAGAAAAACCAATGAAGGGTTCACTTGCATAAAGGGTTCACTATACATCAACTGGATTCGGTTGTGGGGTGTGTCTGTGTCTTGGGTTGTTGCAAAACCTTTGGGTTGCTATTGGGTTGTTGCAAAAAACACTTGCGTGTGTTGTTGCCGGGCTCCGAGTCTCCCATCCAATGAGACATGTCCGACCCCGTTCCCACCACCGTTGCGATCCGCCTCCAATTTGGCGCGCTGGCCGGGCAACTCTTTGTCCAGGGCCTGAGAGGGGATGTTTCCATCTTGGCCGGATCAGGGCTCCACTTTTTGACTACTCCTGACTTAAACCCAGGGTGGGTCATGTACTCCAAAAAGGGAACCTCTGGGTTTAAGTCTATTTGCTGGTAGTCAAAAAATGAAACCCTACGCCGGAGGGTTTGGTAGGGCCAAGAGCACCAACCACGCAAATCTCGGGCTTTCAAACTGCTTCAGTTCACATTGTTATTGCAGGCCAACACAACTATGACACCGTAAAGATTTTAGGGTACCCCTTTTTGGGTTGGTTGAAGGGAAATCAAACAGTTGAGACACATGCAAGAGGAAGAAGAAGAAAAAGATCCCCGGAACCCTCCAGGAACCTGCCCCATCCCCAACCGCCCCCAAACCCAGGATTGGCAGATGGCACCGAACCAACGTCACAAGCCAACCCTTTGACGTGGGCAACTGGACCAAATCGGCCAAAAGAATGCGCTGCTTTTCGGCCCCTGTTTCCTGATCCCAGTCGCGTCTCTCCTTACTTTCCTGCGGAGGGTCCTAAACAAAGCAAGCGCGAATGGGCAGCTCCAAAAAGGGAGGTGAAGGGCCACCCCTAAACCAAACTCTTCGCTCATTGCTCATCGCTCATGGCTCATCCCTGCCTCTTGCAGCGCACACCGCGGTAATTCCTCCGGAGCCACCGGCAAGCCTCGCTCGCTTGCAACTCCATCCCGGTCAACACGGCAACACAATTATTGGATACTGTGGATGGACAAAACAACATGTTGCACCCAGTTGGTAGGTGACTCATCCCAGCATTCACAGGGTTTCATCCATCCCAACTGGTGCAGGATTTTGTGAATCCACAGCACCACTACTGCTGGAAGGCCTTCCCAACGTCGACGTCTTCACCAGTGAGGTCACGGTTCTCTGGTATCACAAAACAGGAAAACTGACATTCCCGCCAGCCCGGAGTCACGGAAGGTTTTAAATTGAATCGCTTACTTTCACCCAACAGTACCCCACACCATCTCATCTAATTCCACCCACTCCCACCCAAGCAAAACCTACCCCTAAGCACCTCACCCCCCCCCCCCTCCGCCCTGGCTCGCGCCTATCTCCGGCGCCGCGAACGGCGAATTCGCCGCCGCCACGGCGCCTCGCGCGGCGCGGCGCCAGCGCGCGGAGCTGTGCTGGGCTTGGAGACCCTGCCGGTGGCTCTGCGCCAGGAGAAGCAGCACCTGCCTGCGGCCGAACCCCCCCGGTCATCAAAACCCGTAAGGATGCGGCACAACTATTAAAGGCCAGGTTGAGCGACATCCAACACAAAAGGGTCATCAAAACGAGCACCAAGGAAAACATATGAAAGGCCGGGAACCCACAAGAGTGCGGAAAAAACATGAAAACAAATGGCCGGGTTCAGCGGAATCTTAAAAAGAAAGATGGTTGGTGGCAAAATGGGCTCAAAGAAGCCGACTTCCATTTTGCAAAGCCAAGCCCTCGACCTGGCGGCTTTTCATGGGGACCCATGTACCCTTCAAAAGCATCGTAACAAGGTGTGTGTTTCTTTTGTTTGCAAACACTCCCGCCGTTCAGCGCCCCTTCAGCCTACATGTATCTGAGCCCATACTCCAAATCCCCCCCAAATATACAAGTCTTCCTCTTGGTTCCAGATCTTTGGCAAAAAAAAGAAGAAAAGAAAAGGGGCCAACCCGAAACCTTCAAAACAAAAGAGTCCGCAGGGTTGGGCATGTGTAAATACACTTAAACTATTACTATTCTTTAGGTCCTCTTTTGGATTCCTGCGGACCAAATCGGGCCTGAGAGGGTGTTTGATCTCTAAGGACGTGCATGAGGCGTTAAACAAACAGGTTCCGCAAAGGAAAGTGCGGCGGAGGCAATGTAACCCGTGAATCGCCAAGCCCTAGTTCTTCGGCGCACCAAAGGATTATCAGTTTGCATTCACCGAGGCTTATTGGGGAGCCACAAAAGGTGCCACCACGCTA